AAACTCCCTACAGGAAAGACAGACGGCGGATCTTCTTTGAATTTGTCTCGAGCTATTCTGGCGGGCTGCGCCTTTGAATCAGGCCCTCGCCCAGCGCTTGAGGGCGCCCCCGAGCGCAGGCGCAAGCGCCCTCCTTTCCAAATGTGCGCATGCGCTCCCAGTCGCTTCCCCTTTAAGCACTCGCAAGCGCTCGCAAGCGCGCGCCCGCGCTCCCGGGCGCTCGCGCGCGTTCTCAGGCGCCCCCCAAGGCGCTCGCAAGCGCCCGCGAGCGCGCGCGGGCGCTCCCAGGCGCCGGAGCTTGCAGACCCACGCGATAAAAACAATGGTGGCGGTCTCGCTGGCCAGAGCCAAATTCAAATGGCGGCGCCGGGCGGGGGCCCACTCAGCGCAGCACTGAGAACCGAAAAAAAGGGGGGGGATCTATGCATGATGCCTCTTTCCATCATTTATCGAACCCACTTTACGCGGGCGGTCAAGAAAAGCACGCCCACTGGGCTTCTTAAGAGCCTTCTTCGATGAGGACTTGAAGACGGAGCCGGCTCAATGGTTAGTATTGACTTGACGCATAGACCACATATTTCTAACATGTTCTTGGGCTGTGACGGGGTAAGTGGTGCAGCCATTAGCTCGTGCAACGTGGCGACGGTTGAGTAGCAGTCCTCCAAATTACGGGCTGCTGCCAAGGCCTCCGCGAAATAGCTAGGACGTGCTGGTTTCCGATGTGATTTACACTGCGCATCTATAACAAAACATTCATCCACTTTTCCGGTTGGCGTGTGTCCGCGCAGCAGCAGGTTGGCACCTCGGATGCCGTATCCGTGAACATCGTCGTCGGCGTCGCCGTTAAGGCGACGGTAACCAGACTCGCCATGCGGGCCCACCTTATGTCGGAATCATTGCTTGGTATATAATATTTGCGGGACCTTATCGTAGTTTCCGCGTGGCGGCGCTAAATCATCACACTTATAGGTTAGTCGATTCTTGGACACGTTGCAGAGAGACAACGTGCACCATTGACCACGCTAACGCACCAAGTAGTTAAGCTGATCAACGCAACACAGCTTTCGCTGCTGCCTTTTTCTCATGCTTCTGCTCCAGCCAACCCATCACCGGGGCGACTCCAACGCAAGACCCACGAGGGCCGATCCGGAAGGAAAGGCTACAAGAGACATCCATGGCGACGAATTCGAGCGCGGGGGCTACCTCCCCCCCCCCCCTGACACACCGGAAAGAAATGAACTCTCCGACGAATACCCGCGCGCGGCTCCCGCCCCCCCCCCCCCGCCCCCAGCGCAGCCGGAGGAGGAAAAGCGCGCGAGCCCAGATTGTGAGCGTAATGACAGTGGCGCTGCACTGGGGAACTGCACCAGCACTGGGGAGCTGTACTGGAGAGCTGCACTACGGAGTTGCGCTGGGGAGTTGCACTGGCCCTGGGGAGTGGCACTACGGACTTGTACTGGGGCGTTGCACTAGGAGGTTGTGCTGGGGGGTGCACTGTACTACTAGTTGTAATATCATACCAATTGCACTCCTATGTTTGCACTGCAGGACCAGGTGCGCTCTAGGAGCATCTGCGCGTCAGCACATAATAAAACCAACTGCACTCAAATACTAATTGTACTGTAGTCGGATCGGAGGGGCTCAGGGGTTCCACTGGCAATGCGCGCGCGGAAGAAGGAATGAAGTCCATGCGCCGCCAGGGGTCCCGGGTTTAAAAGGTCGCCGCGAAGGCTGACCCCCCGCAGAAAAAAAAAACAAAAAAAAAAAAAAAAAAAAAAAAAAAAAAAAAAAAAAAAAAAAAAAAAAAAATCGTCCGGCTGGCGGTTTGGGGGATTAAGGCGTGAGTCGATAGTCTGATGTCAGCTCTGGATGTAGTATAGGACGAAATTGTTTGATCTATTCATCCTGGTCAAACTAGACGTGGCCGCCCTCGGACTCGGTGTATCTTGCGGCGCAGTTGTGCAGCTATGTTTGATGAGCTCACGCGCGCCGAACGTACCTTCTACACATGTGACGTACTTGTTGAATGTGTCCTCGACTCCTGCCATATTTATGTCGTCTACGTGCTTGGCTGTCAGGCGGTTTGGGCTCGTCTTGAATTTCTTGTCATAGGAAGTCGGTTTGAGACCATCGCCTTGCGTGATGGTCCAGAGCTTCAGCGAGAACGCCCTGGGGGCGTCGCGGCTCGTCATAAAACGCAAAAGCCTGGTAGTGCTCTTAGCGCCGAAGTTGAGCCAGGTGGTAATGTGAAGCATACCATGCGTTCCTTGTTTCCAGTGGCTGCAGCAAACTCGCGATACGTCAGGCCATGCAGGAATGCCTTACCTATGTCCACGGATGCCACGCGGCCGCGCTTGCGAGTAGTCTCTGGCAAGCCCGCCTAGCTGTACCCGAAAAGGTCTCCACGTCAAAAGCCTCGACATCTATGAAGCCGCGAAGTGCGAAGCGTAAATGTGCTTTCCATTTTGCCTGGTTCATGTTTCACAAATTTCGATTCGCATACAAATCTGGATGTATCGTCGCGTGCTTGATTTCCTGCGTCTTCAAACAATTGCTGCCGAACCATATCTTAAGCTCCGTGTGCAGAAATTTTGGAACCTTGACTCGAATTACCTGAATTTCAGTCTTCGCGAGGAGGTCGCAATCCTGGACGACGATAGATCTCTTAGATGCAACGGACACGTACAAGCGCATCGTAGTTGTAAAGTCATCGTCAAGCATATGGGAGGACAACAATTATACATATACGCTCTTCCTGCTTCGATAGAGCTTGACAACCTCATCGTTTTCCCCGAACCGCGTGACTGCATGCGCGTGGCTGCGTGCGTGCAGACGCACACAAGCAAACTCGTCGTGACTCGCACACCAAGAATGAGCCAGATTCCGCGGACGCCAGCCGCCCCCGCCCCCAGCGGCGAAACCCAGCCCACGTGATTGGTGTATACCATTTTCGATGTATACCAACACTCGTTGTTTGCAGGATGGGGTGCATATACCAATCTGGCGTGGTGCATATCAGAGTGAGGGGGCCGAACGGTCATTCACTGTCCCCGGGTGCGTGGCTGCAGTGGGGATCCACGGCGAAGACTCTTGTTGTTGTTTTGTAGTTTTGTTTTGTTGCGTCGTCCCTACCCCAACCCGCCCGCGACCCACCCGCGACCCACCCGCGACCCACCCAGCGAACCGCCCGCGACCCACCCCGCGACCCACCCGAGACCCACCCGCGACCCACCCCGCGACCCACCCGCGACCCGCGACCCCACCCGCGACCCACCCGCGACACCCGACCCACCCCGCGACCCACCCGCCACTCACCCGCGACCAACCCGCGACCCACCCGCGACCCACCCGCGACCCACCCCGCGACCCACCCCCGCCCACCCGCGACCCACCCGCGACCCACCCGCGACCCATCCCGCGACCCACCCCGCGACCCATCCGCGACCTACGCCACCCCCCGCGACCCACCCGCGACCCAATTGCCCGCGACCAACCCCGCGACCCACAGCATGTTGGTTACACAACAGCCCCCAAAAAACAAATCGGCGCCTGCTGCGGCCTTCATTTCATGGGTTTAGGGGAGTGCCACCACCGCGCGACCCACCCGCCGACCCACTCGCGACAAACCCCGCGACCCATCCGCGACCCAACACGCGACCCACTTACATTGTTTTAACAACAAAAATCGGCGCCTGCGGTGGGCTCGCTGCATAGCTTGAAAAATGATGCGCCTGCGGCGGGCTTCTTCAAAGCCTCGTAGACTGCCGACGTCCCCGCCGCCTCCTCACTCTTATCCGCAACTGCGGGCCACTACGTACAGTATGAGGTGTATACGCATAGTCGTGTTCTGATGGGGGTTGGGCTATGCACCGATGTTGCCCCCAGTACCCTGGCATCGTCGGCGGGGGCGGGTCTGGCTGGGGCCCGCGGAATCGGCTGGCCATCTCCCGAAGAAGGCCGTTATACTGCGCGTCGCCCTTGCGTGGGCGACGCACATGTCATGTAACTATGTAAGAGTGTGCTTGTGTGTGTTGGGTGGTGCGAACCCACTGTGCCCCACTCTGGGGCCCCCGGGGCTGGGCCTCGTGGGGAAGTGCTCTGGAAGCCACCTGCGCCTCGACGGGAAACCTGGGGCCACCCTGGGCCAGGGCCACTCCTGGCAGCACATCGATCTCGGACGGGTGCCCCTCGCCTCCAGGCGAGCTGGAGGCCAGCGGGGTGGCGGCGAAGCGCAGCCCGCTCTGGCTGCAGCGCGTGGGCAGGAGCGCGTGGATCGCCAGATCTGCCGGCACGCATCGGGGGTGCAGGGCTGCGGCAGTCACTGCAGGGCCTGGGCGAGCACAGCAGACGGAGAACCCATCGGCAGCGGCCAGGGGGCCCGTCCACTGACAGCGGCCATGGGGTGGGGCACAGACAACCGCCAGGGGCCCCACTCACAAAGGCCAGGGGGCCCACTGAGAACGATCAGGGGGAGGCACTGGCAACCGCCGGGGGCCCCACTGACAACGGCCGAGGGGGGCTTACTGACAACGGCCGGGGAGCAAACTCACAACGGCCACGGGGGGGCACTCACAATCGAGGGGCCCACTGACAACGGCCAAACGGCTCGCTCACAACGGCCAGGGCATGGGTGGCGACGAGGAGGTCTCCTCGAGGTCTCCAGGAGGTCTCCTCCTCCAGAGGGGAGGCCTCCGGGAGACCTCCCCTCTCCCTCCAGGAAGTCTCCCCAGAGGCCGCCCCGCTCTCCTCTCGACCATGCTGCAAGTGCTGAGGACGTGGTGGCCGCAGCGGCAGGCCCCACCACCCCGCCCCCCTCCTTGCGAGGGGCGGCTCGCCCGTGCTCGCCCGTGAGCATCTGGCTGAACTGCTTGAAGTCGCCTGTGAGGGCGCGGCTTCACTGCCAGTGGCTTCCACGTTCGTCTAGGTATTCCCGCCCCCTCTTCCCTGCGGCTCTCTCCCTCTGCCCTTGGCCCTCAGCAGCGGAGGCGCGACAGCTGCACAGGCCTGACCTCTCGGGGGTGCGCCCGGATTCCCTGGCTCGGCGCTGGACCCCGCTGGCGGCGACTCCAGCACCGCCCCTCGCGCGACTCGGCGCGCCAGCGAGGGGGTGCAGCGCCGATCCAAGAAATCCGCGCGGACCTCCGAAAATGTATGCACATGCCCTTGCTGATTCTTCTTATGCTTATTATTAGTATGCTTATTATCATTATTAGTATGGATATTGATATTACTATGTTTCGTCATAATCTTAGTCTTATTATATTATGATTGGTGTATATAGTGGTTATGGTTATTATCATTATTATGTTTATTTTCCTTCTTCTCATTTTCCTGATCCTTCTTCTTCTTCCTCTTCGAACCAATGCCTGGCTCCGCTGCGTGCTCGGCCCCTACGCGAACGAAGCATGCGCGTTCGCGCCTGCCTGGCACCATTCCGCATCCTCCCCCCCCCTTCCGAGGCGGCCTGCGGCTCCTCCGTCTCAGTGCCTCTCCCCGCTCCCCCCCTCGCTTCCCAGACCTCCGTCGTCGCGACAACTCCTTGCCGACGTGGGCTCCCGTGTTCTCGACCCCAACCCTGGCCCTTTTTCTACTGTCTTCTTGACGGCCCCGCGGCACGAAGCGGGCCGAGGGGGTTAGCTGGCAACTCCAAGGGGGACCTTCGCGGGTTCAAGGTCCGCCGAAAGGGCTAGTCGGACTGAGTAAGGCTGAGGAGCACTCAAGGAAACACCTGCGGAGATGCTTAAGTCAGTCTCCCAGGAGTCGCAACCTGATGGGTATGCTCTGTAGAGGTTCGAACGTAATGCCACCGTGCCGCGAAACACGAAGTGAAGTGTCCTCTAGCGCGGCGTGCTTCAGAGGTGAGAGCGCTGGGCGAAAAACCCGTGGCCTTGCCTACGTCGGCGCGCCATTGGCACGGAGCTCTTACTTAGCAGAGAAAGCGGCCGCCGCGGCAAGGCGAAAGGCCAGCCGCCACGGGCGGCCTGGTAGGACGCCGGTTGCGGGAGGGCAACCGGCCAAGCAGCAGGGGAAGGTGTCGTGCCCCTCCGGGAGCCCAGCATTGAGTATCGCAAATGCGCTTTCAGGGGCCCTCTCCCCCTCCGCCCCCTGGGTCCTCCGGCCTTTCCTTCTGGGGGGCGCGCCTGTGCTGGCAAGGACGAAGAGCACAAGCGAGCCCGCGAGCACCGCGGAGGCGATGTTGCCCGCGGTTGCGGGCAGCGAGCCCCTGCCCGACGACGCGCAGTCCACCTGATCGCCGGACGGCGACGTTGACGTCGTTGACGACCTTGACGACGACCTTGGCGACAACGACAACGACAACGACAACGACGACCTTTTAGCGACGACCTTGACGACAACAAGACAGTCACGACGACGACAACGACAACGACGACAACGACGCCGACGCCGACGACGATGGTAACGACAGCGACGGCAACGACGACGAAGACGACGACGACGACGACGACGTCGACGACGACGGCGGCGGCGGCGGCGGCAGACGGAAGCAGCGGCGGCGTGGGCGGAAGCGGAAGCGGGCGACTACGACGACGTCGCCGACTTCGACGTCGACGACGACGTGACAGAAATCTGCACCGTCCCTTTGCCGCCCAAAGTCGTGGATGCTCCCGAGGGTTCCTGAAAGTCTCCTCCGGGGGAATGCGTCTCATGCTATGGAATTTTCGAGAGTTCTGGGAAGTTTCGTTGGAGCCTCTGATGCTTGCCTTTCGGGACCTTCGGGGGAAAAATGTCCTCCGGATCGCCACGCTGTTATTTGGAATCGACACACGCTCCCCGTGGTTTGTGGGTCGGACACGATGGGTGCAGACACGCGGAACCAAGCCGGCCTGGCCGCAGTCCCGTGCATCGATGGTCGGAGGGTGGGAAACGCGAGGACGAAGACAGAAAGTTACTTTGGCATGCATCCCCTGCGTCTTCCCAGACTGCCCCGGGCACTATTGCCCCATCCCACCCCTAGGTTAAGTGTTCATCGGCATTCTCGGCATCTTTGTATTAGCTAGTGCGGCTGAACTGGAAGTTAGCTGGTCGATCATTTCTCGCCTTTTTGATGCACGGTGCTCATGACATTGATATTGGTGTTCCTCGCGCTGCACGTCTGCGTCATTTTTGCTCGACGATGTGATGTGTTTGATATTCTGCTGACTCGCTGGTTGTTATGTCATGTTATGTCATGTCGGCACGCCCCGTGTTGGTTCGGACACCAATACGCCGAAACATGACCGTTCTTACAGTGACGTGTCCTCACAATATCGTTACGTTGCGATTCTTGTGTCGACATAGTCATCGATCTGATCTATACCTGCTCCAGCTCTTCACCCCCCCCTTGCTTGTCAATTTCCCGCTGCAGTGTTCATCAGCATTCTCGGCATCTTTGTAGTCACTCGTGCGACTGAACTGGAAGCTTGACTGGTCGATATGTACGGTACTTATGACATTGAGTATGGTGTTCCTCGCGCTGCTCGTCTGCGTCATTTGTGCGCTACGGTGTGATGTATTTGACGTGCTGCTTGATCGCTGATCCCCGTATTGGTTTGGCCACCAATACGCCGAAGCACGACTGTTATTGCAGTGGCGTCTTGAAGAGGAAGCAATCCGCCACCGTGCCTCTGGATACGGAGCGGGCCTGTCCTCAGGTCGTCGTCGTCGTCATCACCATCATCAAGGTCATCATCATCAGCAGCAGCAGCATCATTTTTACCATCATCCTCATCAACATTATCAGCATCAGCATAATCAGCATCGTCATCAGCATCAGCATCACTATCAGCATTTGCCCCATCACAATCATCATCAACATCACCACCACCATCATCAGCGGCATCAGCATCGGCATCAGCATCATCATCAGCATCATGATCATCATCATCATCATCATCATCATCATCATCATCATCATCGTCATCATCATCATCATCATCATCATCATCATCATCATGATCATCATCCGCATCATCGTCAGCATCATCATCGTCGTCATCACCACCACCACCATCATCATCATCATCATCATCACCATCACCACCATCACCACCATCATCACCACCACCATCATCATCACCACCATCACGATCCTCGTCATCATCCTAACCACCATCACCATCATCATCATAATCACCATCACCACCATCACCACCACCATCATCACCACCACCATCATTATCATCACCACCATCACGATCATCATCATCATCACCACCATCATCATCATCACCATCATCATCACCACCACCACCACCACCACCACCACCATCATCATCATCATCATCATCATCATCATCATCATCAGCAACATCAACATCATCATCATCACCATCGCGTTTCAACATCCCTCCGTCACTCTTACCCGTCACTCGTACACTCTCCTCCATCATCATCCCCCTGCCCCCATCTCCCCCTTCCCTCTCCCAGGAGCTCCAGCTCGCACCGGACCTCCGCCTGTGCGACACGGCGCCACCGGCGCCACCGAGGCCCTCGCCCCAGACGGGGCCGCAGGAGGCTCACGCCGCCGCCGCCTTCCGCCACCGTCCGCGCGCCGCCGCCGCCGCTCGAGGCCGCCGCCGCGGCCGCCGCGCCGCCCCAGAACTCCGGCGTCGTGATTGCCCCCCCCCCCCCCCCCCTACCCTGCCCCCTTCGGCAGAAGCCTGCTGGAGCTTCTCGCAGTACCCGGTGCGCCACCGGAGGGCACGTCGAGGAAAAACGCCCCCCTTGCGCGCACCTGCCCGCGCGATTGGCCCACAGCGCCGACCCCCGGAGGTCTCTGGCGCCTCGCCCCCCCGGGCCGTTCTCCCACGGCCCTCCAGGCCCCGTGTGCGGGGCGGCCCCGGAAGCCGAGGACGGCCGAACACCTCCCGTCGTGATTTGTGTTCCGACCTGGGAGGAGGAGGAGGAGGAGGAGGAGGAGGAGGAGGAGGAGGAGGAGGAGGAGGAGGAGGAGGAGGAGGAGGAGGAGGAGGAGGAGGAGGACATGGGGGGGAGATTCGGGACCCCACGACCACGCGGTGACGGACCGCGTGGTGACCTCGGAAGGTCCCCGAGGCCCCGCGAGGGCCTCGAGAGGTGGAGCGCCACGAAAAGCCTCCGCCCCGACTTCTTCGGGACGCCCGCTGTCTGGGCCTCCACTGCGCCCACCACGCGGCGTGGTCACCACTCCGCTCGGGGGCTCGCCGAGGGGAGGCCGCCAATGGCCGCCGCCGTCCCGAGGCCGCGGGCGCGCCTCGCCGGTGCGGCCGGCGCCGCAGGCCCCGCCACCCAGGCTCAGCCGCACGGCGGGCGCCTGCAGCAGCCCCGCGGCGGCGACCAGGCGCTGCCCGCGGGGGCCGCCGCGGAACCTCGCCCGCCGCCGCGGCGGGCGTCGCGAGGGTCGATGGGGTCGTGGGATCGACCCGGGCCTCCGACGGAACGGATTCTGCCATCTCGGGCCTCTCTCCTCGACGCAGGCCTCGGGGGCCCGGTGTTCGGGCACAGGGGGCCTTCGAAGGCGGGTCTGGGACGACAGGCGGCCACCAGGGAAGGGGTCGGGACTTCTGGGGCCAGGCGCACCGACAGAAATCAGGTCGGCGGGTGTCAAGCGAGGAGGATCGAGGGGTCGAGGAGGATCGAGGGATCGAGGATCGAGGGATCGAGGATCGAGAGATCGAAGGATGGAGGGACTGAGGATCGAGGGGTCGATGGATCGGAGATCGAGCATCGAGGACCGAGGGATCGAGGACCGAGGATCAGGGCTTGGGGGGCCGAGGGATCGAGGAGGATCCTCGTCGTGCTGCTGCATGGGGAGGGGGCGAGGGGGGAACCTCATCGGGCTCTCTGCTCCGGGACGCCCGGACCGGGCCCTGCCCATGCCGTGGCGACGGAGGGCGCACCCCCGAGAAGCCAGAGAGCGGAGGATCTGCGCGCCGGGGGCACTTGTGTACAGGCCCAGGTCCTCCCCCCTGCCCGGCCCCCCCCCCCCCCCGCTGCTCTGACCGTGCTCCTCGCCCCGGGGAGAGGAGGGGAGGGGCCAGGACGACGTGCATCTGCACAGATGCACTCTCTGCGCATGTGCCCTGTTCTCCAGCGAGGCAGGTCCAGCTCCTCCTCCCCCCTCCCCAGCTCGCACTCCCTCCTGGGGAGGGGGGAAGTGGGAGGAGCGAGGTGGGTTTGTCAAGCTAGGTGCGCTAGCGTCATATCTGACGTCCTATCCTCCCTCCCTTCTCTTATCATGGCGTAGATATCCTTTCTATTCGCAGTCAGATGTCGAGCAGGGCAATGATCCCAAGAGGGTACGCGATGTATGACAAATATTGGCGTAGAAGAGCACGGCAGAGCATAGCATGTCATAGAAGTGGCGTGGCATTGCGTAGTGAAGCATTGCATCACAAAGCATAGCAACGCAAAGCATGGCATCGCACAGCGGTGCACAACATAGCATCGCATTGCATGCCGTGGCATGGCACCGGATCGCTTGGAGGGTAATTGGCCCGTCTACGAGAGGACAGAGCCTGTCCAGAATGACGGCTCCATGTCCTCCCCAACCGTGCCTGCCCGATGTGGGCGCGTTCGAATGCCCAACGCCGTCCGCACTGTAATGCAGACCAGAAAGAGGCCAGCGGGAGCCGGGGGCGCGGGAACAAGGCCAGCGCTGCAGCGGGATCACGATTTTCAATGACCGAAGCACGGAACTGAGGGCGGCGCTGCAGCGGGAGCATCATGTTGGAAGAACCGGAAAACGACCAAATTGCAAAAACACATACGGGGAACAAAAAACAAGTAATGGAATCCTGTACCTAAAAACAGTACACGGAGAGGACGGGAGACTCTCCGGACAGAGCCAGGGGAGAGAGGAGAGTAGTATTCATATGGTGTAATTATATTAGTTCTTCCTGCGAAAATAGAGGGGACGGGGGACGTTGGCGAATTGGACAGTTTGGCAGGCCTGACGTCCGCACGAGGAGGAGGAAAAGGAGGAGGACCAGTGCAAATCCAAGACTCATCAACGATGTTGGAATACAAACTCCCTCGAAGCTTCCTCTTCATTTGCCCCAACCAGGGTTCATTTCCACTGAGGGAATTGCCCCGTAGAGGGACAACCGTGTGAAAATCCTGAAGCGTATTCTCAGGAGTCCAAAACCACGAGCTAGCCTGACTGGCACGTCTTGCCGATCCTGAATCGTGCCAGAACACCATTCCTGGGACTTCAACACAGCATTTCAGCCCAACCGCTGCGCCCTGACAATCCAGAATCATGCCAAAACACCGCTTCTGAATGTTTTTAACGAGTGTGCGCGACACTAAAGCGAGAATCACAGAGTGAAAATGACCCCTCAACCCGTGAAACTGTTGCAATTTGTTCAAACGGATGTGTGCGACGCTGCGGCGAGAGCCACATTTTGAGAACGACCCGCCCTCAATCCATGAAGCTCTTGCAACTGTTTCAAGCGAGTGTGAGCAGCACCCAGGCGAGAGCCACATATTGAAACCGACCCACCCTCAATCCGTGAAGTCTGTCAAGTTTACAAAACGAACTTGTGCTGCGCTAAAGCAGAAGCTACATTTTGGAAGCGACCCGCCCTCCACCCGTGAAGCTGCTGTCAGTGTCGAAGCCTCAGGCCCTTAGATGGTGAGGAAGTGTAAAAAGCAAAACGCCCGGCCGGCCCCTTCGACCGGCCTCGGGGTGCGACGCGGAGGAGTTATTCAGAAGGAAAAGAATGGAGGAGGAGGAGGACGACGACGAGGAGGAGGAGGAGGAGGAGGAGCAGGAGGAGCGAGGAGGGAGGAGGACCAGTGCAAACCCAAGACTCATCAACGATGTTGGAATAACCCGTTCCTCCAAGCTCCCTCTATGAGTCACAGGCCCCTACAAAGATTCATTTCCACTGAAGGAACGGCCTCGTTGGAAGGCAGCCCGTTCGAAGACCCGGACGCATGCCAAAACATTATTCTTGGCACTCCAACGCCACGGATCAACCTGACGGTTGCGTCTTGGCGGTCCTGAATCCTGCCAACTCGCCATTTTTGGGACTTCAACACCGCGAACCAACGTAACTGCTACGCCCTCCTAATCCCGAATCTCTCCAAAACACCATGTTTGGTACGTTGACCATGGGAATCCGTGAAACCCTTGCAATGTTTAAAAAAGAACGTGCGCGGCGCTAAAGTGAGAGCCACATTTTGAAACGGGGCAGCCCTCAATCTGCGAAGCTCTGAAAATGTACAAAACGAAAATGCTCGGCGCTAAAGCGAGAACCACATTGTGAACACATGTGAAAACGACCCGCCATCCATCTGTCAAAGTGTTGCCAATGTTTAAGCTTCAGGGTCACACGTGGTGAGAAAGTCTCATGCGAAATGCCCTGGCCACCCTTTCGACGGGCCCCTGGGTGCGACAGGGAGAATTTTTAAGCAAGGAAAAGGAATGGAGGAGCAGGAGGAGGAGGAGGATGACGACGAGGACGAGGAGGAGAGGGAGAGGGAGGAGGGAGGGAGGAGGGAGGGAGGGAGGGAGGAGGGAAGGGAGGAGGGAGGAGGGAGGAAGGAAAAGGGAGGAGGGAGCGAAGAGGGGAGGGGGCGAGGGGGGGAGTGAGTGAGGGAAGGAGGAGGGAATTTGGAATTGCGCTCTGCTTCGCCGAGGAGACGGTCAGCTTAGTGCGGCACTCACCAGCTGCTGGCAGGAACACGCAGTATCTAGCAGCAGGGGCACCAAGGTGTAAATGCTCCGCCCGCCCATGCCCATACCCCCCCCCCACCCTTATCGTCATAAAGCGCACATGGCGCAACACAGCGCTGCAGGAGAAGGGAGGAGGCAAGAGGAGGCAGAACAAGAAGGGGAGCAGGTGAGATGGCCTGCGAAGGGCCGAAAGCCAGTAGCATGGGCTTGTGCAGGGCATGGTCGATCGGGAGTGCACGATATTCGCGCGCTTGACCTGTGGCCTGTGTCTGCACCAAACACCAACGCTTCAGTCCCGACCCGCGCACACTGATCACTAGGAAAAGTGGCGCGGCCGAAAAGAATGTCTGGCGTAACTCAATCAGAGAGAGCATCGCCAGCATAGAGAGGGCAATGGCATCGGTCCTGCGCCACCATGCCGTCGACGCGGAAAGAAAGACATCGACATCACAAAGCAGGCCAAACACGGAAAGAGGAAAAGCACAGCTGAGAGCGGCTGCACGGAGGAGACAGCGTCTGACTGTTCTGAACCTCCACCCGACCGCCCACCCCTCCAACCCCCAAGCGCGCCCACCCAGGAACAAGGCACATCCCTTGATATATGACAGGCAGCTACCTATCCGAACAAACCCCTGCCAAAACTATGATCACGGGTCCACGGGGCTACCTCGCGCAAGCGAGCCTCTCTCGCTTCCTGGAGTCTAGCGGCTCTTCTGACACGTGCCTGCGCGCGGTTTTGCGCGATGCGCTCCAAGACTTCGGGCTCGAGCGGGGCCGGGGCAGGCGGGGGGGGTCTTATGCCCCCTGCGAGTCACCAAGAAAAGCTCGTGCATCTACATGCCCCTGCTCCTCATCAGCCTCTGGTGGGCATGGGGGTCTAGCCTCCGCCACGCCGTCGTGAACCTGCGAGGGGGGAGAGGTAGCCTGCTCCGATGTCGGGGGGGGGGGGGCGCGTAGAGGTCGACAGCGATCTAGATCGGGGCCGCGTCGGACACGGCGCGTGCGCCGAGAGACAAAATCGGGGCCCCATCCCTCGTCAGTGCCAAAATACGGATCCCAGGAGACAAAGAAACGCAGTAGTCAATCACGTACTCTACAAATTTCCCCCATGTCTGTCATCCGGAACAACGGCCTCAGCACTATCAACCTCCCCCCCCCCCCCGCGCATGGCGCGCACTGCGTCGGCGGTGGCAGCAGCAATGCGCATGCACAGGCCGGCGGGGTGCGTCTTGTTGGCTGTGCGCCACTCCCGCCTATCCCTATCATGCCCAAGAAGCGTTTCGTGGCCGCCCCTACCGTGCGAACATCTGCTGTTTCCAAGGGTCGCACGCAGGGCAGCGCGCAGTCCTGGCAACCTGAATGCAACGATCCGAGTGGGGGCCCGTGACGTCTGACCGTGCTCGCACCGATCAAAGTCAGACGTCGGGTTACTGGAGAGCCCGCATCGGGTTACAAGTAAACGAGCTGACAGCCTGGAGCCTCCATCCACACGGCTGGGGGTGTTCCAGCCAACGCGATGTGCCAGCCTGCATATGAGCCGCGAGAAGCTCAATCATAGCATGGCACAGCGCATTGCCCGCCCACAGCTGCCCCATCTGACGCTCAGCAACTGCCCTCTTACCCCAAAACTGACCATGCGTCCGAAGTGGCGGGGGGCCTTGGCCTCCTGCCCAACGAGAGGCAGACCAAGTCTCACACGGCGGCCCGCCACCCGATACCACCACCCGTCGTGCAAGGACGCGAGACCTCCATTCGGCGAGTGTGTCAGGATTCATGAGATCACCATCCCCTGCACGCATGGCTATGTCCACAGACCGGACATATCTAGCATAGTCGGTGCTGCAACGCGCCCATTCAGCCTGTGCTTGCATGTCCCCCGCCCTCCTCCGCCCACAAAACAAACTTAAGACAAACAACTCAACCCGTCTGACGGCTCTCGGTATGGGTTCGGCTGCGATACCAGTGTACCGTTATGTCAAGAAAAATCGACTGGGGTATCTCTACGTTGTGCACTGAACAGGGTTAGCCGGTGGCGGCACAACAGCGGCAGCCACAGGTGTAGGATATTGTAGGCAAGCAGCAAGACCAGATGCGAGAGCAGGGTCGGCGGCCGCAGTCTCCACGCGCGCTGTACGATGGTCCATCGTGGCGATAACCGAATATGCATGCTCTGTGACGGGGCAAGCTGCACGGAC